TTTACTTAGGCAGCCAGAATAGGTTTACTTAGTAAAATATTAAGAAAAATGCAATTGTTTTTAGAAAAAACTTGGTATAAGTGATCGTCGGGAAGAGTTAGTGATTTGCGTTCCCATTCTATTTTATTGATACCGATTTCAATGAAAAGTTCATATATTTTTTGCTTTTTCTTTTTGTTTCCAATATGTAATATCATTAATCTCTTTAGGTAGTTAGTTTTTTTTACTTCTTTATCTACTTTACTTTGAGCCTTACAATCTCGATATATTTTTTTATTTTTATAATAATTCAAGTGATCAGATAACTTTTTACCAAATTGAAAGTAACAGTTTAAAAGCTTTTGATTTGCAATATTATTATTAGCTTCAGCTTTAACTATTTTTTTATAAAGATAAGTATAACTATCCTCAGATAACTGAGGAGGAAATATTAAATCTTTATTAACACTATCATCTTTTAATTCTTTGATAGGTTTTTTTACTGTAGAAGATTTACCCTCCTTAGTAGTTGACTTCTGTCTTTTATCTGATTTATATGGTGATTCTATAATACATTTTTTTTGGGCAGTCTCATTCAGTAAGGGCTCTTTCTGACCTAATAATGGTTATTTATTCATTGGAGAACCTAGTATAAAGTCCTTGCCTAACATATCTGCAAGAGCAGAAGTTCCACTAGACTGAGATGATGATTTGGAAAACCTTCATTCAGATACTACCAGATCAATGATTTTATTACAATCAGATAAAGGCTATTTGTTTTCTGTTGTAAGTAAAATTTTTTTTCTATACATTTTCTATAATATATATATCCATATGAAAGTATTGTAAATGATTCGAAATTAACAGATAATATTTTGTTTTCACATAGTTTATATGGTGGCAATTCTGTAACATCGATATTTTGTATTATGCTATGTTTTGTTTCTTTTAAAATATTAAGAGCAAGATTTTGAAGATTAACAAGAGATATAATGATATTAGCAAAGCAAATGTAAGATAAGTTTTCATAACAAACTTTTATTATACTTAGCTTATTTTATATTGTATTCATGACTAAAAAATAATTTTAGATACTAATTTCGGACTTAGCGATCTATTTATTCATAAATTATTTAGTATGAGCCAAGGACCGATCAATCTACTAGCAATTATAAATGATTTACAAATTAGTAATATGTTAACTGAATGAATAAAGCAATTATAATTCAATTTAGACAAAAAAACAGGATTACTCGATCTACTATTAATTCTTAAGTTTGATTAGACCTTTTGGGTCATTGCTTTGCAATAATACTGATCTTAAGCTTATTTTATAAATGGTCCATCAACTCGATAAAGCCATTTAATTACTGTTCACTGGATTACTTTAGCTGAATTTATTCATTTTTGTCATAAATGATATGTCCGCTAGATAATAGTTGCTGATCGATTTTTTATATACAAAGTTTTAAAATATGCTACTTGAATTTTATAATCCCTAAATTTATTGTGAAGCAATGTCTCTTTGGGACTAGAGTTGTCAGATATATATTCATTTCTGGTTAGATTGTTTTTTACTCAGAATACAAAATTTTTTCCCAATGATCCTTACTATTAATTTCATATCCAGGAATAAATAAATATCTACGTATATATTTGGGTGGATGATACTTTGCAAATTGTAACCAAGCTTCTGGTGTTTTTAGATTGTTGATATAGTTTAAACCATATTCAGTTAACATATATTGGATATAGTTATTTTTTGTCTATTCTTTAACAATATTTATTGCAGAGCAATAGCTTTTTAAGCCTTGAATATTGGTCATGTTTATATAGATTTTATTATTAACTAAGACTTTTATTTAATAAGTATAAGCCAGAGACCTATCAATTTACAGGCAATTGTGAATGATTAGTAAAAAAAGAAGTATATACTTTATAGATTTTTATTTCACTTTGACACTGCCAATTTATAAGAAAAAAATATTAATATAAAAATCTATTACTTAATTGTAATCTCAAGAATAGCATTAGGAAAATGGTGGACATTTTGAGTCACATATATATGGAGGCCCAGCAAAAATCTTCTGAACTTATGCCAAAGATGACTAGATTGCCATTGCTTTAAGCATCTGTTCTATTTCATCATCTAATCTTTCGCGATTTTTCTCCTTAGCTATATGATAATAAAGCTCATATAATTCCTCTAAACTACTATAGAGATCATTATCTTCATATCTTTTGCAATAATTTTCTAGCCTTTCAGTATATGCTTCTTCCTTAGAAAACATCTTTACTGTGAGTATTTTAATATAGTTATTCAGATCCTTTTCTGCTCATAGTTTCTTTAGATAGTCCCATAATTTTTTGCAATATTATCATATTTTTTACCCTTTCGCAATGCTGTTTTTATGACTTTAAGGATAGGATAAATATAGATCATTTTCTATATAAGGATATCGACTAAAAAAATTTTACCCAAAAATTGAACATACGTTATATATAAAAGTTGTTAAAAATCTGATTTTTTTTTGTAAAATTTTTATAGTATATACATTAAACTTATTTAATTATAATAATAGAATTTGAACCTTTATTATATTCGAAAAAAATATACTTATATATATCGTTAATTCTTCTTAAGTTAATCAAAATTTGCCTAAGTTATATAACATAAATAACATATGATCATCAGCTGATTTTAATTAAATGTTATTGTAAAAAATTTTAGTAACATGATCACTATTGAAATGTAGATCATTTCACCCTACCCTTAACTTGTGCAAGTTCTATTTCTTTATAATCAACTATTTTTGTATGCTTCTACTATAGCAAAAGAAAAACTTTAATTAATAGAAAATTTTTTTATCTGAAAAAATATTTGTTATAAAACATCTATGCCTTGACACAAAGTTTAGCTTTTATAGCCTTTTCTTTTGCTTCCCCAGGAGATATTTTAGATGCTAACAGATGTTTATATAATTCAATTCGCCAATATCTATAGGGAAGGGTTCAAATTCCATCAAGTAAGATTCAGCATTTGTTATCATATAGATTTAACCTATCTTATTCACCCTCTCCAGATATATTTGATGATCATAACTGTGAAAACTGTACATATCATGCCAAGTTAGTTTCTTATTTCTAAGACATTCTAGAAATTTATCATGTTGAAGCTCCCTTTTGACCATATATTTCTTTACACCCTTTGCCTTTTGGATACCGTGTTTCTTTTTAGGGTTTTCAGAATCTGGGTCATCAGAAGTTTTAGGATCATGCTCTGCTAGAAGAACTGAATACATCTTTGGCTTTAAATATACCATTTCCCCTATTGGTATACCCTTTGTTTCATCCTTCATTAGAAATAAATTGCCTAAATAGTTAAGATCAAAAATGTCTGGCCTCTCTGCTTGATCTTTATATATGTCTTCAGTTTCTATTCATATGATAAGTGAGTCTGTGTCTGTATAAAGTAGACGGGCTTTATCTCCATAGCAAGGCTTTATATAACCATACTAAAAGTTAAACATCATGGCCTTGCTAATATCAAGAATTGCCTGCCCTACATAGATTGGTTTATTTAGTATTACTGTGCTCTTTAATATATGAACTGCTGTAATACCTCCCTCAAATTGCTTGAAGCCTACAAATAATAGTGAACTTACTAATCGCCTAATTTTTTTATCCTCTTCTGTTCGGAGTAGTTCTACTCTCATATGTTTATAAACATTCTCCATCTGCTTGCCAAAGACTACATTATTTTTTAGCTTATAATACACAACCCCAAACTCATTCTCATTTGCCTTGGCTATTTTGCATTTATGAATATTTTCCTCAATATATTCCTTCATCTATGAAAACTGCCTAAACTTAAGAGCACTATGAATCTTTGTAACCTTTATTCTGAACTTTATATATGTCTGAAGAGCTCAGTAATGAACTATATAATTCTTCTTAGTAAAAAGAGTCTGAACTAGCTTTTTTTCAAATATATATTTCCCTTCTCTAACATTTTTATCACACACTAACATTTCATTGTATAGACTAAGCCAGTTCTTTGATATTATCTGCTTTTTTGGTGCTAAAGGATAATCTGCAAAGTAATCATACAAGTGTATCAGGACTTTTAAATCAACTTCAAGTGTATAGCCTATTTCTGCATCTGGTGCAATACTTTGGATATCAGATACTTCCTCTGGACTTACCTTATCTAGGATTTCTGTAGGCATGTATTGGGTTATTGCACCTGAATATAAAGCATTCATATTTTCATATAAGATTCAGGACTTCAGCTTGCTGGACTTATAGTTTGGACATTGCAGATTATTTGCTTTAGCATATCTATGACATGCTATTGTCATTCCTCCACAGATTCCATCTTCAACTATCAGATAATTATTCTTATCTGTTATGAGCTTAAGTTCTATCCTGCTACTTTTATATAGAGAATCATTAAACATTTCAGGTACAGAGATGTAGTGAGATAGATCTAGATCATCATCTTTGAGATATATTATGGTATAATTCATGAAAACATCCGCAAGTAAAAGTACATCAGTCTCAAGATAAAGGTTATGATATTCTCCAAAGTTCTTCATCTCAAATATTTGCTATACTATTTGTGTATGTTCGTAATCCTCTTTACTAATATTTTGCTGACTAAGAAGTGAATAGAAATCCTTTTTAGACAGGAGGCTTGTTCTGTCGAATTTTTTCCATATATTTGTCCAGTCATATAGAAAGATGCCCTTTCGAAAAAGAAGCTTAATCTTGTCTATTGAATAGTCTTTTTAATAAAATACTTAACACTTAGAGAGAATTTTTCGATTTTACCACCTAGGCATTCAACCAATTTATCTAGCCCCATTCCCATATGCTGAAAGCTATCTAAGAACCGAAGCTGTCCTACGTCTATGGCCTTATATTTATCAATATTCTTCAGAATGTATTTGAGCTTATTAGCTGTAAATTTGCTTACAACTCTCATAAGTGGATGAGAGTCATACTCTCAGAAATTATGACAAATAAGAGGCACTTTAGTTTCAAAAGAGCCTATTCGCAATTTTTTGTTGCAAGTGTCATGAGCTGGACCTCAGTACTTACCACTTATATGGTTATGATCTTTTACTTTATAGTTTAGAACACTTAAAGCTTCTTGGTATCCTTTCTGTATTTTTTTCTTTTCTGGGTGATCTTTTTTCATACATGCTTCCCATTCTTTAAGTTCTAGCAATCTATGCTTTGCCTCCTCAAATTGTTGCAATACTTTTGGAGATGACTTAATGAAAGACCCCTTACATATCTAGCAATCGGTTGCTTCATTGTATGTCTTAAGATCTTCTAGTACCATTATCATTTCTGTAGGTGCGGATAAATCTATCTAAATATTTTGAAGCTCCTCTTCGATTCTATCAATAAATTTTTCTAAGACATCTGATCCTCTATATAGATTATGACACACAATCTCATAGTTAAGTAAACTATCCATACAAATAACCACATAGCAATAACTACATAGCTTATGCATTTGTAATCTTTCAGTATGTGTTAACTCCATTTTCTCTTCTGAAGTTAGCTTTTCAGTTAACATTTCTAGATCTCAGAAAATATAATATAGATTTGGTTGCATGCATTTATGATTATAGAAAGCTTTAATACTCTTATTTTTTACTAGCATTTGTGCTCGCTAGGGTGCATTATTTAGACCTTTACATTTTGGTAAGTACTCCTTAAATCCTTTTTCTGCTGAATATACATGAAGACAATACCAGCAGAGGTATTTTCGCCCTTTATGCTGCTATAATTGTATACTAGTTTATGTAAATCTTTGATTATGCAGTAATGACTTCTTTCTTTTTTCATAATTACTAGAAGATTTACTTGCTTATATTTCTCCTTCCTTCTTTCTGAAACATAGCAAAAATCAAGACATTTATTTTGGTTGTGCCATTCATAAATACAAAGGCTAATTTCTGGATTATTTGCTTCAAACTTTTTATAAACTGGTGTTGAGACCGGCACTGAAATTGGGATGTCATCCATATTAAGTTTCTACACAAAACCTCCATATAGCCGATGCGAATTTCTTTCTGGATGAATTTTAACTAGATGCAAAACTTCTAAGACACACCATCCAAAACACTAGTCATTATATTTTGAATATTAATAATTCCATTATTACGTTTAGGCAAAGTTTTAGGTAAAGGTATATGGCAGTAGGACCAATTGGATTGAAATCAGCTATCTCTAAACTTATTTCTTTGATATAATCAAGATAGGCATCTGACATTTGGTAAATAATTAGCTCTTACTCTCGCACTATTATTTGCTTATAAAATTTTTTCTTTAATTAGTTATTTTTTATTCTTTTTTTCACTTTTCAATTATAGAGTTGGCACTTAAGGTAATATTTTCAGGCTTGCCAAAACGATTCTAGCTAGCTTTCTTCATATAGCTCACAGCTGATTTCTTACCCTATCCCTTAAATTGTAACATAGGCAAATTTGCCTGCGTTTATTTTTTTAAACTTTATTTTTTTAATAAAATTTTAAATATTAATTTTAGCAATATAC